AGTCCTTCGAGACACACCTGCTTCTCTAGCTAAGGATGAAATTGACCTGTTTGGGTTTCGTCGTACTTTGCAGTCGATCGAATTTCAGTTCACCATATTGTATATATATATATATATATATATATATATATATATATATATATATATATATATATATATATATATATACAATATGGTGAGTTACAGTTGTATGCCAAACATGAAATCAATCGTTAACTTTCATAACCGTCATATTATGAAAAGCATCCCCCCAGAATCAGATAAAAGTTGCAATTGTATTACTAAAAGCAAGTGCCCTTTAAATCAACAGTGTCTCGTTAATAACATAGTGTATCAAGCCACTCTATATCCAGGCACTCCAGACGGGATTGAAAAAGTGTATTTTGGAGTAAGTGAAACTGCTTTTAAACTTAGATACGCTAATCATACAAAATCTTTTAAGATCGAAAAATATAAAAACGATACTGATTTGTCTAAGGAAGTATGGAAGTTAAAAGAAAATGGAGTAAACCCGACAATTAAATGGAAAATTTTAAAACGTTGTAGATCTTACAATCCCACAATAAAACGATGCAACTTATGTCTATACGAAAAGTATTTCATAATATCGTACACCTATGATAACTTATTAAATAAGAGGAATGAATTAGTATCTAAATGTAGACATAAAAGCGAGTTCCTCCTTTCGAATTTTGATACGGGTGATTAGGCAGCCGTTTTTAGGTTTTTGTTTTTGTTTTGTTTTGACGACGGAGCACACTCCACTGTAACTTTATATTTTAACGGTTTTTCTTGTTTCTTGTTTTGTATTACATGGCTGATGATTGCCTTTAGGCATGAAACTATTAGTACCATAAAAAGATGTTTTCTTTATTTTTATAAATTAATTAATATAATGCTCTATTAAATAATATAAATAAATCCTATTTATTTATTATTGAGCACTCTTATACGTTCAAGAGATTTTTGTATTTTATTGCAAATACAAAATATCATACAATATATATATATATATATATATATATATATATATATATATATATATATATATATATATATATATATATATAGTTATATATATATATATATATATATATATATATAGTTATATAGTTATATATATATATATATATATATATATATATATATATATATATATATATATATATATATATATATATATATATATATATATATATATATGTATGTAAGTATATATATATATATATATATATATATATATATATATATATATATATATATATATATATATATATATATATATATATATATTTATATATATATATATATATATATATATATATATATATATGTACTTATGCACACATACACACATATATATACACATATAAACGTATACTAATATACACATACAGACATACACATCCATGCATTCATATACTCATACATACATACCCATTCACACTTAGTCACATGCGCTTATAATTCCTTATTCACATGCGCTTATAACTCTTATTCACGCTTCTTCTTATTCTTATTCACGCTCTTATTTCGCTTATAACTCTTATCTTCGCTTATAACTCTTATTCACATGCGCTTATAACTCTCCCAATTTTGTTGCGCTTATAACTCTCCCATTGTTGTCCCATACTTCGTATGGAACTACATTGGGAGAGGGCGTCAGCAACTATATTTTAGTGACCTGCTTTATTTGAGATTGTATAGTTAATATCTGCCAGTTCCAAGCGCCAGCAAGTATACTTTCAAATTTTGTCTTGCTCTGTTTATTTAAGATGAGAAAAATAGATCTTTGGTCTTTTAAGCGTCCCTGTAAAACTGCAGCTACTTTCCCAACGTTTTTATTTTTGGCATTTGTTAGTATCCTTTAGATAAAAAGTTATAAACTTTCTAAGCTGTACTAATTTTTTTGCTAGAATTTTTCAGAAGCATCTGTTTCTATAGTTAATGGAAGCATAAAGTCAGGGAAGGCACACAAAGCCTCCACTAGTTTATCTTAAAACGTTGTAATTGCTTCTTAAGCATGCGAGGTTAGATCCTGAACTAAAAAACCTTTCTTGCTCGAGTGATTGTCAGGGTTAGTTTGGTGTAGTTTTGAATTTAATTAGTGTAATAGTCAAATATTAAAATCATTCTGCTTAGTTCTTGTAAGGTTCTTTAATCTGGAATATTTATTAATGCTTCTTGTTTTTAAGGACTAGGTTTCATGGGTGCGTTTTCAATTACTTGGCCTAAAACTTCGAAATGAGTGTTTTTAATGTTAGTCTTTTCCATGTTTTACTACATATTGACTTCTTGAGCTGTTTTTAGAAACCTTTTTAGATTTCTAATGTGTCTTGTTCATTTTCTCAGCGATTAATTAAATCAATAAGGTAGGCATAATTATTTTCCGGTTTATTGGTCTAAATAAACATTTTTTTTTTGGTAACTCATCTCCCCAAGTCTAAGAAAGCCACTAATGACGAGGACGGCAGCGTAGAGAAACAAGCTGAGCGCGATGCTACCAGGGACGTGGTGGGATTCGAACTTAAAACCACTTGAACTTACTTGTGTAGCAAGCGCTCTACTACTACCGCATTACTTTGATCCAGGTTTTCAACTCGTCTAGTAGTTGTTTTAAAATTGGAATCGTGTTAATACAACCAACTTTATCAATTTAAGGTGAGCTCTTAAATTAATAAAGTCTACCATTAGCTTCGAATGCAGTAGGTTTGTATTATTCAAGTTGTATTTTTTTTTTAATATTTATTGCTGTTATTAGAAATAACATATCGTCAATACGCGTTGTAGGGTATGAATCTAGTGGCGTGTGTAAGTTCATTGCGTTTGAATAATTAATTACGAAGTAACTTTTATGTCTTGAAGTTACCGAAAACCATTAAGCACGTTAAGGGCTACGGGTTACTTGTATTTTATCTATTGTACCCTATTTGAGAATGCGGTAATTTCTTCGGTTAAAAATGGAACGTTTTTGTTTTGGCGTGATTTTATTGCAATAGGTTTAATATTGTCAATATCTACTCCAGGTTTTGATGCATAAGTGTTGTATTTCATGCTAGCTTATTTACAATAATATATATATATATATATATAAATGTATATATATATATATATATATATATATATATATATATATATATATATATATATATATATATATATATATATATATATATATATATATATATATATATATATATAAATGTATATATATATATATATATATATAAATATATATATATATATATATATATATACATTGTTTACAGTTTAGGATGTTGAACGCTGGATCTTTTTGACTCGATGCATGAGTTTTGCTTGTGTCTCTGTTTTTATGGTTAGGCAACTCATTCTATTATCTCCAAATGAGGGTACAGCTCTAAAACTCAGTTTTATGGTTCTGAGGCCTGCTAGTAGTCAGGTTTCCTGAACTCTGTGATAGCTCTCAGAGAGGCTGATTCCATTAACAGCTGAAAAATATCAGAGTACTAACAGTGCCATGTTGCGCATGGATGGTGTCCCTGTTTGTACTTTTGGTGTGCATTGCCGAAGCCACATCGCAGTCCTTTGTTATGGCTTAAGGTTTATTAGTGGAAATGAGGCAATTGCTTGGGTTATAAAACAGTGTAATGAGTACTATCTATGTTTCGAGTCAAGTTCTTAAACAAATTTAAAAATGAATAAAGTAACAAAAACTATAAAACACAAAAAACCACAGTCATCACCAAGTTTGCTAAATCTATCATTCACTAATATTCGTGGTCTTCGAAGTAACCTTTTTTCTGTAGAGTCTTATCTCTTGCAAAGTTCACCAGACCTTCTTTCTCTTTATGAGACTAATTTGAGTTCACTGTCTCATGTCGTGATCGTAGTGTTCATGGTTATCTTCCTATAATTTGCAAAGATTCCAATAGTCACATGCTTGGTCTAGGCATTTACATTCGTAAGAATTCAACCATTTGTCGGGAAACTAAGTTTGAATCAACAGACTACTCTTTTATGTGCTTTTGCTTAGTACCACTTCTCTCTATCACCTTTCTCTTTGTTCTAAATCGCTCTCCTTCATCTCAAGACTGCACTCTTCTTGATGTTATTTCTAATTATATTGCCCAAGCCCTCATTCTTTATCCATCAGCCAATATTGTTGTTATCGGTGACTTTAATGTTCATCACACTGAATGATTGGCTCTAGTGTCAGTGACTCCGCAGGCATTAAGGCCCACAATTTTTTTCTTTCTCAATCCCTAACTCAAATAGTCAACTTTCCAACTCGCTTTCCAGACAACCCGAATCAATTACTTTCTCTACTCGACTTATGTCTTGTTTCTAATCCTAGTCAATGCTCAGTTTCTCCACACTCACCATTAGGTGCTGCTGATCATGGTTTGGTCTCTCTAAAACTATTATCTCATTCTTTTTTACCATTAGAATCCCCCTATCATTGTACTTCTTACAACTACCTTAAAGCTGACTGGGACTCTTTCCGTGATTTACTTCTTTCGTTTTCCTGTTGACAAATGTGCTTCTTACATAACTTCATGGATTTAGGCTGGCATGGATTCTTTTATTCCCTCTCGACGATTCAAGGTCAATCCTCACCTTCTCCATGGTTTTCCTCACATCGTGCTGCCGCAATTGCCAATCGAAACCATTACATCCATATCTATCAGCAAAACAATTCACCAGAAAACAGACGTCTGTTTATTACTGCTAGTAACCATTGTAAAAAGGTTTTGTCTAACGCCAAAGCCTGCTATTCTCAGATCATGAAATCTCGTATTTCATCACAAAAGTTAGGCTCTTGTGTTTTCTGGAGAATCTTTAATAGTATCAATAATAAGGGTAAGTCTGTAATTCCACTTCTTTTGTACAGTTCAGACTTTGTCACCTCACCTAAAGACAAAGCTGAATTGTTTGCCAAAAACTTTTCACCGATATCATCTCTTAAATTCACTAGTTGCGTTCTACCTGATATAGCCGTCAAACAGGTTGATCCACAG